ATCTTTTTATGAAATAAGTATTTTGCAATTTCAAAAGCAAAATATTAATTATTATTAAATTAAAAGAGCCATGACATCGGAAAAAATTATGCCTAATGACTGGTATTATACAAAATACAAACTCTCTTTTTATAATGTCATCTTTCTAGTCTATAAAGAATTGGGCGTGAGCTGATTGAGTTCTTAAAGATGATTTTGCATCATCTCAATTCAGATGTCCTCAATAAAAAAAAAATGATAACACTATAATTATAATATAATGTAAAATTATAAATTCATAATCATGATATGATAATATTATAATTATAATATTATATAAAATTATAAATTTATAATCGTAATATAATATTAAACGAGTATAACATAATATTAAACAAATAAATACAAATAATAATGCAAATGAACTTTTGAGTGAAAAGAATCAGTTATATATACAATGATATATCATGTTGTAAATTTATAATATTACGTAACATTATAATTATAGCATTTTAGATAAAAAAAATTCAAAATTATACCCTTAAAGTAACATTCTAGGACATTCAACTTCTATCTATTTAAAAGTTTTTATTGGTACATTAGATGATTGAGCTATATGATAAGAAATAATCTTTCTTTTCCCACAAACGCTCTTTATTTGCTTTAATGATTCAAATATAAAATCTCTAATTTAAAGTTTCAAACTTGTTTGGACAGCTTCGCAGTCCAACACTGTTGAAGCCCTCAGCTGCTTCTACACCTGAAAATCCCGAGGGTGTTTTCTCGAGGAAAACACTCCGACGCTCAAGTCAGCAATACTCAATATTCTAGAGAGAGATGCTCTCAAAGAGTAATTGTAGAGAGAGAGGCGAAGAGGAGTTAATACCTTGCATGGAGGTAGTTGGGGGGTATTTATAGCCCCAAATGCTAACATGGGCTCAAACATGTCTTCATCTGTTTGGTTCACGTGTCACTGCCCACGCGGGTATGTCTCCTCATCTTGGGCTAGTGGGTGTATAATTGGGCCTGCTGCATGTGGCCCGAAATGGGTGTTGGGCCTAATCCCAACATTACTCCCCCCTCGGTATTCGGTTGACGAACTGGGTTTGACCCTGGGAAGGATGAGTGAGGTTCTATGGTTCATGACCGACCTCACGCATGACCGATGTGGGCGGCCTGAAGCCATCGTGCCTGGTCTGATGTACATGTGTATGCCGACTTCCTACCGAGCAGGCGTGAGGAAGTTGGCATTAAAACAAGGCGAGCTCGGTGCTAATCAACGAGCTGAGCAGGCGCGCAAGGGCGAGCTTGCATAATGGATTTTCTGTAGTAAAGCAAAGTTGAGCAAATAATGAACGAGCTGAACCAATCAACCCAGACGAGCTGAAATGAGCAACCTTAATCTTCTGTAACGTAGGTCTCCAAGATACAGAGTAATTCTAACGGGGTTGGTGACAATCTAACGTTTGATGTTCAAAACTGAGGTGAATCCCTGATTTGTTATGACCTGATCTCTAAAGACTTCGAATTTGTAACGGGCTGAAATGAGCGACCTTAATCTTCTGTAACGTAGGTCTCCAGGATACAGAGTAATTCTAAGGGGGTTGGTGACAATCTAACGTTTGATGTTCGAAACTGAGGTGAATCCCTGATTTGTAACGGGCTGATTACTCGAGATTTTCAAATTTTGAATTAGTGCAAATCTCTGAGGAGATCTCGGATTTGTTACGAGCTGATCATTGAGGTTTGTTACGATCTGATCCTTGAGATTTTTCAAATCTTTTGAATTAGTGCAGATCTCTGAGGAGATTTGCTTAGGGCGTTTGGTATTCTTCTGTCAACGGCAAATATCCTTTTGCCTCCCCGTAATAAATGCTGGCTCAGCATTTGAGGGGATGTGACAGCTGCATACGGCGTATTTTGGGCTCTTAACCATAAATGGCTGCCACGTGGACGCGTTTAACTGGGGGGCCATAAACACGCGTACGGTGTTTACGAAGCACCATATGAAGGACAAAAACAAAAGCAATTCTCTGTTTCATTACTTAGTACGTTAGCATTTTCATCAGCAAGAGTTGTAGAGACACTCCAGACCATTTTCTAGAATTTCCAGCGAGAAGACACCCTACTTCACACACAAGGTAAAAAATGGCTTCTTTTCATGATGCACAAGGGTTTTGGGGTAACCAAGGCGGAGAAGAAGAAGTAGATGTGATATCCGTTGAGCTTATCGCCATGATAGTGCCGCCAGAGTTGCAAGACTCGCCCAGAACCACCACACCAGAGAGTAGCACTAGTTCGAGCACGAGTGGTGGTTCTGACGACCACCAGCCTTCAATGTCCAGCGATTCGCTCACGGAAGTGACTCCCAGTGAAGCGGAGGGTGCTGAAGAGGTTGGGTGTAATGCGCCGGCAATGAGTACAGAAGCGGAGGTGGTTCTGTTTGAAGGGTAGGAAAGCAAGGTTCTTAGTGGAAGACTGGACAACCTTCGCAAGGCCCCCAAAACCCTACCGACCGACTTTAAGTTCAAGGCAGCACTGCATCACGAAGTTGCAGACGGTGCAGCCACAGTGAAAGGGTACAAGAAGTTAGAGGAGATGGTGAGGCAATACCAGATCCCCAGGACCATCCTAATCCGAGCTGGGACACCGAACGAACAGGCGTGCTCAGTATCGTGAACGGGCTGGGTGCCAGTATACGTAGACCATTTTGACGCCAGTCTACGTTTTCCTTTGCTCGTACTAATTTTTGACGTCCTGGCAGAGTACGAGCTGGCCCTTTCGCAACTTACTCCCAACAGCATCAAGTTTATCATAGGCTTTCTGCTGTTGTGCGAAAGGTTGGGGATGTCTGCAAAGGCGGTGGTCTTCAGTCGCTCTTCCTGTACCGTTTGTGCCCGTCGACCAGTGGAACGAGATGGTACTACATCTCGAGGAGAGAGAAGATGATGATATTCACCAACATAAGAAACAAGGTGGCGAGGTGGAAGAGACAGTTCGTCTTTGTTCGCGATACACGAACAAAGTGAATCAATAACGAGCTCGCTGCCCGTCTGTCAGAGTGGCATACACCTAACGCATATATGAACTACCCACAGCTGACTGTTGGTGATGTCGACCTGAAGAACCGGTTGCTCAATCATGTGAAGGCGGGGGGTTTGGTGGATTTGGAGGCTTTGGTTACCCCGGACCAGATCGCCTTGTTTGGGTTTGTCGACGTGGCAAACCTACATTCTGAAGGTTTATTTTTATAGTATAGCATAGTTTCTAGCCGATCTGAGTCTTATGCCTTTGTTTGTGCAGGAAAAATGAGCAGCATCCTCGAGAGGCAACGTCAACGAGCTCAAGGCTCGAGGAACCTGGAGCTGGGTCCGGTTCCCAACGGCAGACCCATTTTGACGAGCGGCTACCTGCGGCACTTGGGTGCAGCTCGTCGCACAGAAGTTCCAGCTCGACATCAAGGCCGTGTGTCGAGCAGAGAGTAGAGCCTGCGCCCTCGAGCTCAAGATGGCGGGCGAGAGAGGACTCTAACGTCGAAGATGACATTCCCCTCATTCGGCAGAGGACGAGTACGGGGAACCAACCCGCTCCAACTGCTGCAGCACGGCCAGCCAACATGCCCCCAGCGCCAGCTCGCGAGGTTGCTGAGCCAGCACCTGCCTCGTCGTCTGTGGCGGGGCCAAGGATTGCATACCCAGACGGCTTCAATTACGTAAGGACTGAGTGCCAAGCCGCAATGCTGTAGGATATGCAGAACTTTGTGCCTCCTGCAGACCGGCTACTTGCAAAGGGGCACGTTCAGCAGCATGGGGGACATGCTGCTCTAATCATGCTAATGGATGTAAGTATACTTACCGAGCTCGTTGTTGTATTTTATTATTTTGTGCTATGAACTGACGAGTGTATGCTTATGACAAGCGTTCAGCTACACCGTCGCACTCTTCGAGTGCGAGCAGGGGGCGCGGGTGCAGAACCGCGAGCTGGAACACAACTGCAAGCAACTGGCCTCTGAGAAAGCCAGTTTGGCTAACGAGGTCAGTCATTTGCAGAGCTCGGAGATGGCTAACCGAGTGACATCAGCAGAAAGCCGAGCTGACGAGTTGGCCCGCAAGATCAACGAGCTGAAGGAGGAGCTTGAAAGGCTCAAGTGGAGAAGGAGACCGGCATCCAAGCTACCAAGGAGGAGCTTGGCCGTGCAGAGAAACGAGCTATGAAGGTAGAATCTGACAGGGAGAAGACTACATGAGCTGAGCGCCCTGAGAGAGAGGGTTTCGCAAGTCGACCAACACGTCGCCCGAGCTGAGGCGTCCTTGGAGAGTACCAAAAGGCTCCACCAACAGAACGTCTGCTTTGCCCGCGCACAAGGGGCTGAGTGGCTGGTGGGAGCAGAGATGTTCTAGGACGTCGTCGCTGTTGCCTCGGCTAACACTACCACGGACATTTTCAACAAGGTTTGTGGGAAGGTGCTGCGAGTTCGGGCTGACTTCCCCATCGGTGAGCCGGCTTTCTTTGAGGGCGAGAAGATTGATGCAAAAGGGAAGAGCCTCACCCAGCCAGCTGACACACGAGTGAAGCTGAAATGGGAGCTTAATGAAGAGGGGTTGCCCGTGTGGCCCCCTACCGTAGTGGAAGAAGGAGAAGACACAAAGGGGTTGCCAAGCTTTGACGCTTGGGTGGTAGACCCCAAGGACGTGCCCTTCCAGCACTCCTCCTTCTACTCAGCCTCAACCTCAGCCCGCCTCGGCTGCTGTCCCTACTCCTTCTCCTTCAGATCGGCCATCTCCTGCTCAGTCTGTTTCTACGCGCAATGACGCATCCATCCCCGTCGACCTGACGAATGACTAGTATAGGACTTTTGTTTTGTTTGTTTTTTGTATTTTTGTATTGATCAATGAGACTGCTCATTATGTACTTCACTTGTAAAAGAACATTGATGGAATACAAGTTGAACTTTTTCCTTTGAAATTCTTGTGTATATTGCTGTGTACTGTTCTATACAGTGTCCTTTACATTTGTTTGACAATAACTTGAATTAAGGTAACAACATCGAGATGTTAACTGTAAAAGTTTCTAAGGTTATGTATGTTTCAAATGAATGGTAATGGGCGACCTTGTAAATCTGTTAACTGATAACACCCAGGTCGCTTAATACAAATAACCATATAAGGACCTTCCCAATTAGGAGCGAGCTTGCCCATGTGCGAATAAGCATTGGTTAGTCCTACTTTGCGTAAAACCAGATCGCCGACCTAAAACTGACCAGCTCGAACTCTTTTATTATAAAATTTTGCAACACGACTTTGATGCGCCATGTTTCTTATTTGAGACATCTCTTTGACCTCTTCCACGAGGTCTAGGTTCTCTCTTAAAAGTTGCTTATTGTGATGGTCGTTGTGCCGATTTGCTCTATCAGATGGCAATCCAACCTCTACAGGGATGACGGCCTCAGCTCCATAGGCAAGGCTGAATGGGGTTTCGCCTGTCGCCGAGCTGGACGTAGTGCAGCATGACCAAAGCACTTTATTGAGCTTGTCAATCCAATTAGAATGCACAGCTAAAACACGCATCTTGAGGCCTCGCAAGACGATTTTATTAGCGGACTCGGCTTGTCCATTAGACTGTGAAGTATACACAGATGTCAAGGCGAGCTCAATGCCATAGTCGTTGCAGAACGACCTCAGTGCCGTGGCTCGGAACTGTGGACCATTGTCAGCGATGATCCGCTTCGGTATGCCGAACCTGTACACAGATGACCGAGCTGAGCCACAAATTATACTTACATATAATGTACGAATGGCTTAAGCCACCAAAGAATACCTACATACTATTGAATTGAACAGGAATTCCTCTATTTTCTTCTCTGTTGTCGTGGACAATGGTTTAGCTTCTATCCATTTGGTGAAGTAATCCACTGCGACAACGAGGTAAGTGCAACCTCCTTTGCCTTTCACAAAAGGGCCAAGCAGGTCGACTCCCCATTGAGCAAAAGGCCATGGAGACGAGAGTGATGCGAGCATTTCTCCTGTTTCAACGAAGATCCTTATGTTCAGTTTGTAGACAAACATAAAGTTTGCACAAACTTTAGAACGAGCTCATATACCTGCCATGTGAATATCATCAGCATTGAATTGGCAGGTCGGGCACTTTTTGACATAGTTCTATGCGTCCTCGACCATAGTAGGCTAGTAATAACTATGCCTCAGGAGTTTTCGAGCTAAAGTTCTGCCACCTATGTGTGTGCCACATACTCCTTCATGAACTTCCCTCATAGCATATTCGACTTCATAAGGAGTAAGGCAGCGTAATAAGGGCATTGAGGCTGCTCGTTTGTAGAGCTGACTATCTAACAAAGTGAAATGTGTCGCCCTGCGTTTAATCAACTTTGCAACGGATGGATCTTCAGGCAGCTCGCTAGTTTGCAGATAATCAATGAGCGGGGTAGTTCAGCTCGGTGATGAGGGATCTGTGCTTAGCAGCTGACACTTGATTGTGAAATCGGTGTAGCTCGAGGCGTTAAATACCTCCACAATTGTTGACCTCTGAGGGTTGATATCTTGCGAGGAGGCTAATTTTGACAGCTCGTCAGTTCGTTGGTTATCTGCTTTGGGTATCTTGTCGATCTGGAAGGAAGCAAATCTTGACTTCAATCTGTTAACCACAGAAGCATAACGACCAAGTTGAGGATCCCTTATTTCACAACTGCTATTCACTTGTCCCACCACGAGCTGAGAGTCGCTAAAAACCTAAATGCCCTGTACTTTCAGCTTGGACGCCAGCTTTAAACCATAAATAAGGGCTCTATATTCTGCAGCATTATTTGTTGTCTGAAACTTAAACCTCAGTGCATACTCGGATTTAAAGCCATCTGGGCCCACTAACACAGCCCAAGCACCTGATCCCTCAATGTTAGCAGCTCGATCAACATACAGGACCCAGATTGGGTGCTCGGGTGCCTTTTCTTCCACAGTCGCCGAGATGCACTCCACCAAGAAGTCCGCCATAGCCTGGCCTTTTATGGTTGTGTGCGACTGAAATTTGAGGTTGTACTCACTTAGCTCGACGCTCCACCTGATAAGGCGACCAGAGAGTTCCGGTTTCTGTAGTATATTCCTCAACGGTAGATCGGTATAGACAACAATCTGATGTGATTGGAAGTAAGCTCTCAACTTACGAGATGTGTATACCAGGGCGAAAGCAGCCTTTTCTGCTAATGGGTAGTTTTGTTCTGCACTTTATAAAACCTTGCTCACATAGCAGATAGGCTTCTGATTCTTATTCTCTTCCCTAAGCAAAACCGAGCTCACCGCCTCCTCTGTAACCCCCAGATATAGGTACAAACTCTCCCCTTCCACAGGTTTGGAAAGCAGGGGTGCTGACGCCAGATATTGCTTAAGCTCGTCGAACGCCTGTTGACACTCATCGGTCCATTGGAAATTCTTGGGCTCTCGCAAGGCTTTAAAAAATGGGAAGCACTTTTCTGCTGATCTGGCTATGAACCTGTGTAACGCAGCCACACAACCTGTCAGACGCTGCACATCTTTCACGGTTTTAGGAGGCTCCATCTGCTGTACGGCCTGAACCTTCTCTGGATTCACCTCAATTCCTTTCTTGGATACCACGTACCCTAGGAATTTTCCTAATTCTACAGTGAATGTGCATTTCAGGGGATTCAGCTTCATTTGGGTTCGGCACAAGTTCTCAAACGTCTCACTCAGGTCGTCTATATGATCCTCAGGTCGTCTATATGATCCTCAGCTCGCACACTGGTGACTATCATGTCATCCACATATACTTTTATGTTCTTGCAGATCTGGAGCTTAAAGATGATTTGCACCAGCTTCTGATATGTAGCACCAGCATTTTTCAGACCAAACGGCATCATGACATAACAGTAGATTGCGTAACCAGCATAAAAAGCTATTTTCTCCTGGTCGTCTAGCAGCAACTGAACCTGGTGGTAACCTGAGCTAGCATCAAGGAAACTCATCTGCTCATGTCCAGCTGCCCGCTCTACTAGCTTCTCCACATTTGGCAAGGGATGAGGGTCTTTTGGACACGCCTCATTTAAGTTGGTGAAGTCAATACACATCCTCCACTTGCCATTTGGTTTTTTGACGAGCACAGGGTTGGACACCCACTCAGAGTATTCCACTCTCCTGATGAAGCCTGCTTATAGCAGCTTTTGTATCTTTTCATCTATAGCAGCTTGCTTCTCAAGGCCAAGAAGGCGACGCTTCTGAACCACCGACCTTTTGGTGGGGTCTGTGCTGAGCTTATGGACAGTCAACTCTGCAGGGATGCCAGGCATTTCATCCGTAGTCCACGCAAATACATCCTGATTAACCCTCAAAAACTCTAGAAGCTCTACTCGCTCTTCTTCTGTGAGCTTGGTGCCAATCTTAACTGTTCTTTCTGGCACATTAGGGTTTAACGGGACCGTTTCCATTCCACCGGTTCCACCAGCTAAGCCTTTTGCTCGACACCCTCAGGTCGATGTTTGATATCTGAGATGCTCATCGTTTGCTGACCGAGCTCGGTTGGCCTGTGATTTTCAGAAGAACCTGTCGGGGCTACAGCGAGCCCAACCTTCTTGAAAGTGTCTTGGTAGCAGGCTCTGACCATCTTCTGGTTCCCCTTAAGCACTCCTACCCCCTGAGGAGTTGGGAATTTCATACAAAGATGAGATTGTGAGATGATGGCCTTCAGCTCGCAGAGAGTGGCTCTTCCCAATATAGCATTGAAGGCTGATTCCATCTTGACGACCAGAAAGGGGACAGAAGCCATCCGGAAGCGTGGTTCCGAACCCACATAGATGGGTAGAGTAATGACTCCTTCAACCGGGACGGGTTGATTATTGAACCCGTAGATGGGCCCCTCATACTTCTGTAGCGAGCTCGGATTCAACTGCATCTTCTGAAAGCAGCTCCAATAAAGGATATATGGTGAGCTACCAGTATCAATGAAGACCTTGTTGATGTTATGATTGCCTATATGGACCGTTGACACAAAAGGATCTGCATGAGGCATCATAACGTCGAGCTCTCCATCTGCCCGCTTATAATTTGCCGGGCTGAATGTAATGGGCGCATTCTCCCACTCCGCTTCTTCAAATGGGCGCTTAAGAGGCCGGCTCTTATTAACAGTCATCACCTGGCAAGCATACGCCTTGCGGCCTCGGGCGCTTTGGCCCCCTGAGTGCATACCACCAAAGATCATGTTGATTGTGCCAGATGGTGGGGGTATCCCACTGTATCCAACCCCTCTGTAGTCCTTTTGATTTTGCACGGATCCTTTCTGTGCTTGCCCGCGCCTATTGAATGGGCGTCCCCTGTATGCTTTGTTTGGCTCAGATGAGTATTGACCCGCCTGGTAAGGATTTAAATTGTTACCGAACTGATATCTCGGTGCTTGAGATCGGCCGTACTCTTGCACAAAATGGGTCTAGGTGGGTTGCCGAACGTAAGGCTTCTGTACATACCCCTCCAATTTTCCATTGCAAGCTAAGAATTCAAGCTCATCCTTCAAGCTCTGACAGTCTTCTCTATTATGGCCGTATCCACGGTGGTAGTCACAATATTTGCTTTTGTCAGCTCGTGAAGAATCGTGCGTTTCGGGATGGGGTCTCTTGACCCAATGCTGTATCTGCGCCAATATCTGGGATCTTGACGAGCTCAGGGGAATGTAGCTGTCATATTTTGGATAGGATGGCAATTTTTCCCTCTGTTCGCCAACCTTCTGTTTTTTCTTATCGTCTCTGCCTTCAGGCTGCTTGGGCTCTTTACCCTGTCTATCATCAGCTTATCTCTTGGAAGATTAAAAATCTTCGGACAGTATGAAACTTGCTGACCTGTCATTTACTTCATTCCACAACTTAGGTGGATTCTCCAGCTGGTCGTCTAGAAACTGGCCAGGCTTCAAACCATGCAGCAAGGCAGATAAGCAGATGGTATCGGGGACGTTGTCAATGTCCAAAGTAGCTTTTTTGAATCGTTGCATGTAGTCCCTCAGAAATTCTCCCTCTTTCTGATGAACCTACATCAGTTCGGTTGCTGTACATTTAATCTCCCTTTGGCTCACAAATTTGTTGGAGAATAACTTGGCGAGCTGGGAGTATGAGTCTATAGAGTGTCTGGGGAGTTTATGATACCATCTCCTGGCCGTTGACTTCAGTGTCGCTGGGAACACTTTGCACATCATGGCGTCATTGGCATTTTGGATTCTCATGATGGCCTGATAGGTATGCAGGTGCTCATCTAGGTCACCCGAGCCATCATACGTCTCTAGATGGAGGATTTTGAATCCCTCTTGATACGGTTCTACTGTGATGGATAAGTTTAGTGAGGCACTATCCAAGTCAAGGGTCTGTTGGTGCGACCTAGGGCTTCTCAGCTCGTCAATGGATTTCTGTACGTCTTTGAGCTGTCTTTCGAGGTCAGCATTTTTCTTTAGCAGTTCTTCATTATGTCTGGATGAGCTGGGTTCTGGGTTTAACCTCCCACTTCCCCTTGGTTTGGTCGGGACCACCACATTACTAAGGGCCGGGGAGTTACGGGTTGCAACTACTGCAGCTGGCTGTGCATCCCTATTCAGGAAAGGAATCAGGAGGTCATCAGAAATCAGGCGGGCAAGGATTTTACCCATTGCCATTTCGAGAACTCTAGTTCTCTCTTCAAGCTCGGTTGTCCGAGCAAGCTCTGTTGACCTTTCAGGTCATTCATGTTGTGCATTGCCTTGTCTAGGCTGTCTATGCCTTATTCCTGTTGGAATTTGAAATTGTTCAAGCTGGGTTGTATACCCAGTTGGTGTTCTTTCATCATCATCTGTTTCACTTAGTTGATCCTGTTCTGCTCCTCCGACGAAAAGAATTCTCGGCATTGGCCTAAAATCATTCAAGCCGGGCTCAGACAATTGAGTGTCCTCATGTTCATCCATTTCATTCTTCGAGGTCGACTTCCAGTAAAAGTATGAACCATTTTCCCTTTCAGCAGGTTAAGCTACACAACTTCTTGTTCGATTCCCACAGACGGTGCCAAAATGTTTGGGCAGCTTCGCAGTCCAACACTGTTAAAGCCCTCAGCTGCTTCTACACCTGAAAATCCCAAGGGTGTTTCCTCAACGAAAACACTTCGACGCTCAAGTCAGCAATACTCAATATTCTAAAGAGAGATGCTCTCAAAGAGTAATTGCATAGAGAGAGGCGTAGAGGAGTTAATACCTTGCATGGAGGTAGTTGGGGGGTATTTATAGCCCCAAATGCTGACATGGGCTCAAACATGTCTTCATCCGTTTGGTCCACGTGTCACTGCCCACGTGGGTATGTCTCCTCATCTTGGGCTAGTGGGTGTATAATTGGGCTTACTGCATGTGGCCCGAAATGGGTGTTGGGCCTAATCCCAATAAAACTCATTACCACTTGAGACTCCTGAGACTTATCCATTTAAAGTTTGTAAACATATTTTAAACACCTAGCTCTCAACATCCCTACACTATCTTTGTCCTTGTTTGAAAACAAAATAAATTAACAGACAATTTATTACCTAATTTACTTTCTTAATTTCCAATAAATGTAAGTAACAAATTAGGTCATATTTTAAACACCTAGCTCTCAAAATCCCCACATTTTCTTTTTCCTTGTTTGAAAAAAAAATAAATTAATAGACAATTTATTACCCAATTTACTTTCTTAATTTCCAATAAATAGAAGTAATAAATATAAAGGAAAATAAGAGAATGTAATTCCAAAAATAGGCAGGTGTTAGACATGGAATATCACAGTAGAGCTCGCAGGACCAGCAAAGAGAATGCGAATGCAAGCAGATAATGGCAAACCTTAGAAGAAACTCATACTCCAACGAGAACCCATTTCAGACTCAAACCACGTTTTCACTCTCATCTCTTACCCATTTCTTGAAGAAGCCCCAAGCCTTGCCTTTCTTGCTCTTAAGGCTTCTTTTGTTACATTGGTCTGCCTCAAATTGCAGCCATCTTCTCCTTCTCATGGTTTCCTGAGAAACCATGAGAAATGGAGCCAAGACGATGATTGTAAGGCTAATCTTGCTAGATTCAAAGTTGGGTTCCCTTATTCCATTACCAAGGACAAGTGTGGGTGGTTACTTAATCCCATAACTCTTGCGCTTAATTCTGGTGTTAAAGGTTCATATCTATCTCTGTGCCTCTAACTTGTATGTATAAAATTTGTGTGGCCAATTCTTCAATGCCTCAATGTCCTTCCTGTATGTATGTGCTATGATTTTATTCAAAATATGTGCTTTTGGTTCTTATTGTCTTCAAATGCCCAAGGGTGGAATCTCCTTAACCATTATGATAAGTTTTATATGCATTGGATTCTTTTAAGGCGATTGTAGTGATTAGAGAAACCGGGAATTAGAACCTCTAATCCTGAGGTTGAATTGAGCTAGTTTAGTTGCTTTGGATTTGTGAAAGAAATAAGAGATCATACGTACAAAAGCGGGCTAAGATTTCTTTAGATTGCCTTCGGATTATAGGAAATTAAATGTGTGAAGATTGGATCGTGGTGTTTATTTAACTGCTTATATAGCCATGTGTACTCTTGTACGCATAAAGTTGACCTTTGGTGCTAATGCTAGCCTCAAATCCCATCTTCGCTAGGACAAATTGGATTCCATGTCCTCTAAACTGGATGAAAGCATTTTGCTAAGTGGGTTCTAGGCAATTGAGATGTTTGTAGACGTGAGTGAAAGTGAGGGCGGAGGGAAGGCATCTGGAGCGTTTAGCAATATGGTGCAGATGGTGTTGAAGGAGAACTTGGGTCCATTGAGCAACAAGGAAGTTGTGATGATGGCTAAGAAGGTTTTATAAGCATAATGGTTCGAGTAGCATCCTTACTTGTATTGCAATGATGAGAATGTTTATGCTACCTTCTTGTGGTAGCCTGAATGTTAGCTTTTATCCCAAGTTTAAATATTTTCCCTTTGGGATTCATTAATCCATGGTTTCAATTGGCAAGGTCGTGTGTTGGAATAATAAGTGATTTTTTAAATATTTTACAATAGTTTAAGTGATGAATTCAAACCACACAATTGTTTTTTTATTTATATATTATTTATAAAAAAAACTGAAAAAGTGTTTTGCATTTTAAACTATATTGGTGTACAAAACACTAATTATTAGATCAATGTAAATTCCTAATTTTAGAGGCAAGGTAGCCCCTGTTAATTTGATAGTTGGTGTTTTACAATTCAATATTGATCCAACTTAAAGGAAATAATGTTAATAAGCTTGAAATAAAAAGAAAAGTGTGAACATCAAATAAGGTGGAAAGCATTAGATGGTTTGATATAGATATTGAATTTACCTTAAAATTTCTTTGATCTACTTTTATGATATCACAACAAAAACTATCAACCATTTACAAAATGAAAACACCCAAACAGGTAAATTACGATATCTAAGTAGCACTGCTCTCTCCTTCACTCTTAAAAGAAACCACTTGCTTGAAACATACTTGTGGCTTGACATTGAGTTTCATCCCTGCTTCCTTAGTTGTGACTATGATTATAATTATGAATTTTGCAATGTAACTTGCACCAAAACCCTTTCATATTAAGTTAGTCGAACGTGATTTTCTCATAGTGACAAAAAAGGTATTCAGTTTTAATGTTCTCAATATCTTTTTAACTCATTTCAATGGAAATTCTTAATGTTGCATCAATATGTAATTAGCATTCAACAAACGATAGACACACGTTGATGAGAATTGAGAACCTAACTAGCTATGTTATTGCACCTGGCTCGAAGAAATTGATAGAGATAATGGTAAGAAACTTAAGTTGAGGGTGACGGTTAAGCAAGCAATGCGGGCATGGAAGATATCATTTCTTGGGTGGCTTTAAGACCCAAATAGGGCAAAAACATGCTAGATTTTGCAACGTGAAACTCTGCTGCTTCATTTACAATTGATTTATGTGAATGTTTTACATTTAGAACCTTAAATATTTTGTCATAATATTTGAGACATGTATTTCTCAATTATG